CGAATAGTTTCTCTGGTGTGAAAAACTGTTAATAGTACATAAGATCCTAATGAGATAATTGACAATGTGAAATAGGAAGAAAAGTGCTAAAGGTGTAGGGAAAGTGGGAAGGGTAGGGGAAAGGGAATAAGGGAAAAGAAAAATATAAGAAAATGAAAAAATGGAAATAAAGTGTTTGTAAATGGGGAGGGGAGGAGGGGGTGAAGGGAGGGCAGGGACAAGGGGAAAAAATGAGAACCAAGACCTGTCATGTAAAGGTATTAGATCCCAATAATGAATGTAACTGTACTATATACCTAAAATGTACTAATAAACTCAATAAAAAAAAAAAAAAGTAATCTAAGGTACTTTTCACACCGTAACCTCTCTGACTAGGATCATCTGGCACATGGAAGCTTTCAATCACTGTCAGCCAGGGGGCAGTCATGATGCAGCTGTGAGAAACCCTTTCTGGAGGTAGGATCAAGGAGTGCATTTCAGATTTGAAGAAAATTATGTAATAAACACTAATGGCCAATGAAAGCAGTGGCTTTCAATCAAAACTAAGTACCAGTGGTTATGAAGTACAATGTAGGGTTGGGGATTTAGCTCAGCGGTTCCGATGCCTGCCTTGCAAGCGCCAAGGACCTGAGTTCGATCCCCAGTACCAAAAAAAGAAAAGAAAAAAGTACAATGCAATTACTGTGACAAGATTAGTGGAACAAACATCATATATTCATTCAACAACTACTTCCTAAATGCCACTGCTATTACCGCCAGCCCAGCAAAGGAAGGCAGACACATACATACGCACCCAACTGCCACATATTGCTTTCTGTCTGGCAAATGACAGAGGTTCTGTGGCAAATGAACACAGCATGCAAGTCAAGACAACTGGAGCTGAGAGAAGGCAGGCAGGGGACTCACAGGAGCACAGCCTGGGATGTTTATTGGGACTGAGGTAAAACACTCAGGGTTTTTGAGCAGGGAGGAATGAGATCTGATGCATATCCTTGAAAGACCATTCTGGTGACTGAATAACAAGCAAAAAGGACACAGGGAAAAGAGATGGGAACCCCAATACAGTGACCAATGCCATCAGGGAACAGACTAGACCAGTGGTGCCCAGCCTATGGCATGCATGCCACAGCAGGATGTTATCATTAAGCTCTAAAAGGCTCATCATCACTGGACTAGTCTTATAGAAGAAGGTGGTGGCCCATGCCAGGGCAGAGATTCTGCATGTACGGGGAGGCAGAACCACAAGGATTGTCTGACTGGTGGGAATTTGAATGTTGGAGAATGGAGAGTCAGGATGACACTCAAGTTTTTGGCTTGAGCAACAAGATGAACAGAGCTACCATTCATAATGAAGGAAAGAAGGGGGAGGAATACCAGGGCTGCAAGAGGAAGGAATCTAAGAATGGAGTTTCTTAAATTTGTGATGCCTATTAAGAATGCAAGTGGAAAGGTGGGCAATTAAATAAAAAAGCCCAGAGATCAGCAGAAAGCTTGGGGCTGGGGTAACATTGAGAGTCCACAGCAAACTGCAGGAAGGAGATCACCGGAAAGCAGGAGAGACCCGATTAAGAGGACAGGAGACATAATATGGACAACAAAAGAAACTATTAACAAACAGTTGAGTGTATCCTTGCACATAAAAAAAGTACATTTCTTACACAGAGCAGAAAAATCAAACTGAAGACCTTCCCATCGTGTCATGGGAAACTGTCACATTCTGATACTATAGGTGAGGGAGAAGTATCCCTAAGAAATAGGACAGACCAGAAGTACATTCTATTCGGCCCTCTAATTCCAACCTTGTGCAGAAATGGAAAGCTGTTTTCTTCCTAACATCACCTTCCCCAAGTGCTCTTATTCCTCTTTTTTCAATCAGTAGGGAGATTGGTCCATGTTATCCCTAAATCCTGCAATCCCTAAGGAGTGTAACACCTATTCAGTAGGAAAGGCTAATAAGCTAGTAAGCATCCCCCCTTTTTTTGTTTTTTTTGAGACAGGGTCTCACTATGTAGTTGAGACTGACCTGGAACTCACTATACAGCCCAGGCTGGTCTCGAACTCACAGTGATCCTCCTGCCTCAGCCTCCTGAGTGCTGGGATTACAGGAGTGTGCCACCACACTTGGTTGCTAATAAGCCTTCCTAAATTTGGTGTTCACAAAGTAGGATTTGTTACTAAAGTATGCTGAGGCCTCAATTCAAACCCCTCTGAGAAGTCTACTAGCAGGCAAGCTTGGTAATTCAAAACTCCTATTAGAGCTTCCCACTTTGCTGTGAGGGAGCCTTAGTGTTCATCAGTTATGGTGCTCTGAGATGGCAGAGGTGGTAAACTGTGGCTATTCTGCTTTTAAGTCACAAACTCACACTAGTTCAATTTTGATGTACTTAGTTGCTATTGAGCAGTTAGATTAACATAATAATAAATGATAAAACACACCCAAATAAGCACTATTCTGGTCTACAAGTGTCCCAAAATTAGATAATATAAGGTTTTATTAATGTTATTCTCCTATATCCCTAAATTAAAGACAGAATCCCAAATTTTTTGCTTTTAGAGTGAGACTCTATGAAAATGTTCTCAGTGTTTGCTATAAACAGCCTTTTCTATAATACTATAAAGTCAAGTACTAAATTACTGGACTATTTCTAGATCTACAGAGTATTGCACTTTCAAAAAATCATAAAACCATACATGCACACATTTATGTTACTAACAACACATTCATAGTAACTTTGAATTCAGTGTTACTGCTAAACGTTTTTCTACCAAAGAGTGCGTGTTAAGAGTAGAATAAAAGTTTTTACCCTACGTTGAGACTATCAGAAGTCTAGTAAATATAACATACAATCTGATGAATATGCCTAAGGGAGGGCTTGGGAGTTAGCTCAGTGGTGCTGTCATCTGTCTCAAAAATACAAGGTCCCAAGTTCAATCCCTGGTACCCAAAAAAACAAAACAAAAACACAAAATCCCAATACATGCTAAACTCCTAAAGGATACATAATGTAACTGATATTCATTTCTGCTCTTGCCTAAAGACTTAAATAAACAAATACTCTGAAATCATCTTAGAGATGAAAAAAGTCTTCAGGGCTGAATTAAAAAAAAAAAAAAAAAAAAAAAAAAAAAAAAGAAAGTAAAACACAAAGAGCTGGGCATGATGGTGCACACCTGTAATCCCAGCAGTCTAGGAGGCTGAAGTAGGACTACAAATCAGAGCCCAGACTGGGCAATTTAATGAATTAGCAGGTTTCTGTCTCAAACTAAAAAGATTAAAAAGGGTTTGAGGTATAGCTCAGTGCAGACACCCCAGGTTCAATCCCTTGTACAACAAACAAACAAACAAACAAACCTCACATGCTATTAAAGATGAAGTGCATAGTCTTAAGTAACCAGGCAAGTGGGATACAGTGGCATGTGGCTATACCAGTGGTGACGAGCCTACAGCACGTGTGCTGCAGTGGGCTGTTTGTTATCAAGTGAAAGCTCTAAAAGGTTTGTCATCACTGATAGGCCCAGCTACACAGGAGGCTCCCTTGAGTCTAGAAATTCAAAATCAGCCTGAACAATGTAGCAACACCCCATCTTAAAAAACAACAACAAAAAAGTTAAGACTTTCTTTTGAACCTTTACATATCTTTAAAGAACACATATTTATATACAACACCATGACTTTCTTTCCAACTCAATTTTAAGTGGCACAGGATACAAATCCACTCAGAGCATAAAACCTCCTTTCACTAGGGCTAAATCTCCCAAATGAGCCATATCTTTTAAAGACAATGCCCAATGTGCTATCTTTGCCAAATTCTAAGGTTAAGATAATGGTTTTCTTGTGTTCTTAAATCCAGGGGACACCAGACTTGCATTCAGATTAACCTGCTCCTCTCATTTGTTTACTATTCTCTAAGTGACCAGCTGAACAAATCTGCACAGGATGCAATCAGGACTCCTCCCTGCAGACACCAGGGGCTGCTTTCAAACATAGGTCAGTCTTCCCAGAGTTAGCTTAGCAACCAATAGGCTTCCTTCTGTGCCACCAGCATAAAAGGACACAAAGGACTGGGGCAGGGTGGAGTGAGGTACTGGGGTTTGAACTCACTCTGAGGTAACCCCAAGCCCTTTTTTTTTTTTTTTTCATTTTAAGCTTTTTATTTTGAAACAGAGTCTTGCTAAGTCGGTATCCTGCCCAGGCTGGACTCGAACTCCTCCTGGTCCTGGACCTGTAAAGGACCAGTACATATTTCAGGCTCTTCAGGACCCATGATCTCTACTGTAATCACTCAGCAACTCTGTCATTATAGAACAAAAGCAGCCTCAGATAATATGTAAAGGAACAAGCAGGCTATACTGCAATAAAACTTTATTGATGCTAAAATTTCAACTTCATATAATTTTCACATGTCATGTATGTCATTCTTTGAACTTTAAAACTATTTTTAGCCCTGGGGCTGTACAAAATTAAGCTAGCATTCCTGGCCTGCAGGCAAAGATCTGCCAACCCAGCTCACCAGCACTTTCCTGCAACCTTCAGGAGGTAAAGGTCTGTAAACTTAGTTTCAAGATTACCAATCAAGCCAAGTCTGCTTCCTCCCTGACAGGATACATTCCATGTTTAAATCTGTGTGCTCCCAGTGACAAGTCCTAGGCAAGCTCTGGTTTAAGAATCTAAGCAGAATGATCCCAAGGCTATATGGGGCTCTAGTATAGCTCCAAATAGGACCAGCTTTAGCTTTCAAAGAACCAGCTGATTCTCATTGATCCCTATGAGTTCTTTAGGGAGATTCTGAAACTGAACTCAAATCGAACAAAGTAAAAGTTGTGGTTGTTTCTGCTCATTCATGCTTTTTTTTCTTCACATGGCCTGTGTGACAGTTAACCTTGACTGGCTTAAGAACTGCCCAGGCGATTAGGATATACATGGGTGGGTCGTGGAGGTATGGGCCTGGGGTGGTGGTGATCTCTGTATGGTTCCTGGACCCTCCTCTCTGGCACTGATAACCAAGATGCTTCCTCTGGCTGCCATGAACTAAGCAGCTTTGCTTCACTATTCTCTTCTGCCATGATGTTCCTGCCTTGGAGTAGCTGGCCATGGACTGAATCCCTTGAAACTGTGACCCACATTCAACCTCTGCTCTGTTAAGTTGGGGGCATTGGATACTATGTCCAGCAACAGGAAAGCTGACGGACACAGCCTGAAACACCATGAAGCTTGTTTTTCCACAGCCTCTTTTATGTATTTAGGACTGGGGATTCTTTTAAGAGTAAGGTACAAGGGTCTGAAGAGTTTTCATTCTTTCTTTTAAATCCTGAAATCTCTAAAAAGAGTTACTGCTAAGAAGAAAGAAAAGAAAAAATAAGACTATGCTCTCTATTCCTGAAACAGATTCTAGATATGAAGGTTCTAGTTTCCCATTCCTTGAGTAGAAATCTCCAGATGGCAGGGGATCTGGACATTAAATGAAATATCCTTCAGGGCAAAGTGTTACCCACTGGAAGTTTTCTTTGATCCCAATTTGAGAAATACAGATTAACCAATGGTTCCCCATATTCAAAGCCTCTAAGACTACACAATGGCCATTTGTGCGAGAGGAGCCCTGTCAGTGTATAAGTACTTGAAAACAATACTCACTGTTTTCTATGGTTGGATCGTAGGAGTCAACAAATTGGCCTTCAACAAACTGAATTGTCAATGAGGATTTCCCTATAAAAGAGAACAATTTAGAATTAATTAGCCTATGAAACCATTAATTCTGTTTTACAAAAAGCTACTCTAAGAGATGAAGAAGGTACCTGGCTCAGAAAAACATGTTTCTTTTTTGGGGCGGTACTAGGGACAGAACTTGGGACCTTGTGCTTGCAAGGCAGGCAGTGGAACCACTGAGCTAAATCCCCAGCCCAGAAAACATGCTTCTGATTATTATTTGAGCAATTTAAAGAAGCAAAACCAAATTTTTTTTTTTTTTTAGAAAGCGTCTCACTATGTAGTTGAGACTGACCTGGAACTATGTAGCCCAGGCTGATCTCACAGCAATCCTCCTGCCTCAGCCTCCCAAGTACTGGGATTACAGGCTCGTGCCACCACGCTCAGCTTAAAACCAATTTTGTTTATTTGCCCTATTTGAGAACTCTTAAGCAATTAAGCTATTACAAATTAAATATTTCTGTAACATTAACAAATATTACTGGCTCAAGCATGAGCTATTCTTCGAAAGGCAAACAATTCTGTGTTATCTTTCATCGGTTTTTAAGAGTCATCTATAAATACGTACCATAAAATTGTTATTTTTCTTGTAGTGCTGGAGGACTAACCCATAGCCTTATGTAAGCTCTCTTTTATCTAAAAACTCTTTTTGACAGAAATCCTGTCCCAATTAGTACCAAAGGCTGACAGTATTTAGACAATTAAGAAATATTTTGGATTTCACAGAATCACCTGTAACAACCAATCCTGTATGCGAACATATCAAGAACTAGAATGCTAAGATCTCACTCCTCTAATAGTTCTCTAAAATTTCTACTGGACGACTTCAGAAGCAGGTGCATGCCTTGTGAAGAAATGGCATGAGGACAAGACCCAGGGTACTTTACTTCCTGAAAGGAGGAAAAAGTTTCTCCCTCAGGGAGCCCTCATATCCTCAGGAACATTACCAAGTATATACTCCCTGTGCACAGCACACCTGAGGTTGTCTCCAAAGTTCTGTAACACCAGCCCTACACTGCTGGGGCTCCACTGCTCCTCTCCTTCCCCTAGTCACGAAGAGGTACATTCATGGGCTGCAAAACGCTTGCAAAACATGACACCCTCACATACAAAGATTAAATTAATTCACTAAAAGTTTAGACTGAAAGCAGAATCTGCTAGGAAACAACTAGAAAATCCACAAGTGAACAAACCCATTTACTCCTCAGCGGAGCTCAATGCTCACAGTGAAATGAGACTGAATTCCCACTCTGGACATGGCTCACAGGACCCCCGATCTGCCACTCCTCACACTGCCCCAGGCTTACATAGCCCTTCTGCTCTGCCAAGTTCCTGCTGCCTTGACCTCCCCTCAAGTTCTTTGAGTGTATGACTCACTTCTGTCATTGTGGTCTGGGGTCAAATGACAATTCTACAGCGCAGCATACCTATAGTGGCACCCACTTCTTAACAGTCACTCTCTTACAGTTACCCTATTACATTTCTTCTCACCACTATTTTTTCTTTTCTTTTTTGGTACCAGGGATTGAACTCTGGTCTTTCTGCTTGCAAGGCAGGTGGCAGCACCACTGAGCTAAATCCCTGCCCTCCCCCTTTTTAAACAGGGTTTTGCTATGTAGTTCAAAAGCTGGTCTGGAACTCATGGCAAGCCTCCTGCCTCAGCCTCCCAAGTGCTGGGATTATAGGTGTGCACCACCACACTCGGCTGTCTTCTTACTACTTTAAATATCTGAAATTATGTCCTTTACTGTTCATGAAGACCAGCACAGTGGCCTGACACCACTGACAGCCTTTCGGAACAAATGAATGAAAGTAAAGCTCAGAGGCACAGACTTCAACATCTTCTACTGAGACATTAGAAAAGATCTCCATTCAAATTAAGTAGGAAATACAGCTCAAGAGAAATGAAAAAATAATTCAATTATTATCTAATAGTATGGGCATCCCTGTGAAACAGGATACAACATTTCAGGAACTTCATAATGTGCTCAAAAGAAAGCATGCTATACATACTCTCCTATAAAGGGAAATTTAACTCAAAATACAGCAAAGCCATTTTATATAATGACAAGGGGGAAAGTTCCCCTTTTATGCTAGTAAAATGAAAAATTAAAAGAAATAGGAAAATTCTTACTTAATCGACAGTACTGTTTGAAGCAAAAGACATAATTAGAAATGGTCAAGAGTTATAAAGAAAAGGGGCAAAAAAAAAGGGATTAAAAAGATTTCTGTAACTTTTGGAAGTAGAACTGATTTAAAAAATAGCAAAAGATAAGGATCAAGTGTGAGACACATGGTAAGCTCCTAGTGACAAGAGTTGGGAAGTAGCAGAGACTGTGAAGGGGACTTTCGCTGCACTGGCCCTGTGCTCACCCTCTAGAATTCACCCACCTTACCTGTAGGGGTAGGAAAGGAAAACACCTCAAGGGCTGTCTGAAATGCCCACATTCAACCATAAAGAAAGTGAAACATCTTAACCAATACGGTATAAGAGAGGCTGAGCATGGTGGCACACGCCTGTAGTCCTAGCACTCAGGAGGCTGTGGCAGGAGGACTGCTGCAAGTTCAAGGCTAGTCTGGGCTACATAACGAGACTGTGTCACAAAACAAAACATAAGAGAAAGTGCAAAGGGCTGGGGCTTTAGCTCAGTGGAATAGCCCCAGTTATGAGGGAGAGAGGGAGAGAGGGGGGAGAGAGGGAGAGGGAGAGGGAGAGAACACAAAACCAGCAATAAATAAGTGGACCACATTTTAAAAAAGTGTAACCAGCTGTACACATTTAGAATTCCTTATTTGTATCAAGGGAATAAATTATTTGGAAAGCTAAGTCAACACTGAACTTGAAAACATAAGTAGTAATTCCGGCAAAAGCAAACAATGTGGCCTATTCAAAATCCCCATGAAGGATGACAAGTCAACTACTGTCCCCAGGAATAGTAAATTGGGTTACCAAAATTTAAAACTTCATTCTCCAGGGTATAAACTCTATTTCTCAATCAGACTGGCTGCTGAGAGAAAGGTATTACTCATTAGCAGAAATGGGACTGAAGCAAAACTGAGTTTCCCTTGGGTCTCTCCTAACAGCATATCATTAATTACTGAAATCAAGAAGGGACAGGAAGGCTGTACTCACTCAGGAAGGCAGTTTTATGCTGTGTTCACTAAAAGTGGGATTACTGGCAGCTGGCACTGAGATTTTTACAAGCCACTGTGGAATGAGGATCTGTACAAACTCCACCATCCTCCTCCAGGGCAGGGCCCTGGCTCTGGGGACGCCTCTGTGAAGTGGTCCTGCTCTCCTGGGCAAGTGCTGCAGACAGTCTTCCTGCAGCTACTATAAGCATTACTGGCCTATAGAAATCATGTCCCCTACTGTGATCACCAATTTTACAGAGGCCTCAGAATTTCATACATTTATACTTTGGCTTCTGTCTCTGACAAACTGATTCTGCAACACTAGCTATTCCTGAAGAGGCTTCATTCATCAACAACTGTGCTGTCAAAGGCTTCAAATCTGTACAACCTAAGGAGAATCTCAAGATCTCCAGATCAACTCTGGAGAAATGTTATACAAAACAACCTAAGAGTGACCAGAAATAAAATGAAAAGCAGCACCTGCCCAGGAATGTGCATAATGTATAGAAATAGACATCAAACATACATTTGATGGCACTGCTCATAAAAGATGGGAAAAGACGACATCTCAACTCTCATGATTAACTTCCACATACTCTCTCTCCAAAATAAAAATCACCAACTCTGAAAACCTTACAAATTACTTAAAAAACCCCTCTGAACTTTTACCAGGCAAAAACAGCACTATCGTCTTTTTTTTTTCTTTTTCTTTTGCAATGATAAAATGGTATAACCAGGGTTTTTTAATGTTTTTACTATGGAAGATGTACTTTCAAGGCCACTGACTGAAGCTCATGCTTTGTAATTACTGCAAAACAGGTACTATTGATAAAACTTCTTAAACCATTTTCAGGTTAATTTCAGGTTAACACATCTGGGATTCCACCACTTCAAGGGTTGCCTTTCTAGTTGCCCTTGATTATTCTTGAGTTCTTTTATTTTTGGGGTGCCAGGTACTGAACCCAGGGCCTCATGCACATTAAACACAAGCTCTACTGCTGAGCTACCCCCTTTTAGCTCCACTCCCAAACTCTAATGCTGCTTGAAAGGGCTCTGATGTCTGCATCCCCAGTTACCTAATGCCAGCCTCAAAGCTCCTTGGTCTTGCCCCAGCAATCTTCATCCAGACACTCCGGCAACCCACCCAAGTGCACCAGGAACACACTGCTGCTGTGCTCCCACCTGGGCGACTCCCACTCAACTGGCAGGCCTGGGTCACCCTTGGCACCAGACTGGCTCTGAGGCAATGTCTTCAAAACAGGGTCTGTGAGCCACTGGGTCATGAGATCAGCTTACTATACCATGACCCACACTGTTTAAGAAATAGAAACACCAGTCTGGACTGCAAATAAAGGTGTCATGAATCCTCCTTATTCAGGTACACACACATTTATGGCTGAGTAACAATGTAAAATGTATTTCTTAACAAAGGCTGCAGTCAAAAGGTTAAGAGATCCATTACTGCAAACCATGGCCCTCAATCTCTAGTCTCCACAGGTTTCACTTCCCTCTCTAATTTAAGCCCCAAGACAAATCCTTTCCCACTAATCTTTTGTCAGGAGCTTCCCTCTCCTTTCTCTGAGTCCGCCACTAAACCTCTACGATCTTAATCTAATCAACTGCTATTGTGAGCTTACTGCTCAAGTGGAGAGGTCACAGCTTTGTGGACAGGTGATCAATAAGCTATGCTGTTTCCTTCCTTCTTGCCCCATCTCTGCTAGGATCCTCTGTGGCTCTCCTTCCTCCTCCTCAAGTAGTTCTGAGTGACTGGTGTGTGCCCAGTAGCCTAGCACCCAGGTACTTGTTGCAAATGCAAATTATGAAGCCCACCCAGGTCTCCTGAGTGAGAAGCTCTGGAATGAGAG